CAGTGAGCGGCTGGTCTGTATGTGGGATCCGAACCCTCGGCGGGAGCGCCGCTGCGCTCCCAAGCGGCGCACTATAGCAGTGCGCCACCGGGCCAGGCCCGTGACTTGTTATCTTTTAATGAGATAAACATTCACCCTGTGTGCAATCGTGCTCCACTCCTGGAGTGGTTTCCTTCTGTGTCAAAGGCCACACCTGACCTACCTTCCCGGTGGTTGGCCACAGCCAGGAAGTGCTCCCCGTCCACCTCAAAGGCCTCCCAGTCACGAGCACTGTGGGTGGCAATCCTCTGGTACAGGGTGAATTTCAGCTTTCGGTGGCTCCATTTGTAAATGACAGAAAACTCCTGACCCTTTTCATTTGGTTCAGAATTGGCCACAGCCAGGAAGATCTGAAAGAGAGGAAGCCAGGTCAACTTGGCTCCCGCTGGCTTGCTGCCAGGGGTCTGCTGCTGAAGGTTTCTGAACACCAGCATCTCTCTCCAATCCACGTGCTATCCCAGTGGTGCAGGCTGGTGGCTGGCTCTCCAGATCCGGTGATTACGTTCATTAGGACCCTTAAAATGTCTGCATTCTTCAGCCCATTACTTCTGCTTCTCTATCTGAAGGCAAAATACAAGACTCCCAAATTCAGGAAAAGCTTTATGTGCAAAGCGTTCTTCGTAACTTGGATGAATGTAAAAGCATTTTAGTCACCTGCCCACCCACAGTAAGAATGTGGTTCATCATGCAATGGCACACCCTGGTGACACCCATGTAAGACACAGAGATACCTGACGGGGCGACACATCAGGGCACAGCCCCACACAGCTGTGTAGTTACAGCAGGGCGGGAGGCAGGTGTGCTGTGCATGGACCATGTGCCTGGAGGCAGGTGTGCCAAAGGAAAAGCGTATTCACTCAGGTGAGGGGACAGAGTATTTTTCCCCTTGTTGTCCTGAACTTCCCAATTTTTCTTTGATGTAAAGTTATCGTTTTTTTTTTTGTCTTTTACATGACCGGTAAGGGGATCACAACCCTTGGTGTGGTGTCGCCCGTACCGCGCTCAGCCAGTGAGCGCACCGGCCAGTCCTATATAGGATCTGAACCCGTGGCGGGAGCGTCACTGTGCTCCCAGCCCCACACTCTCCCGAGTGCGCCACGGGGCTGGCCCAAAGTTATCGTTTTTTACAATGAAAAGAATAAAAACTTTAAAATGTCATCAACCAAAAAAAGAAAAAAAGAGCTCGTTCATTCTGCACACTGGATCTGGATGCAGCTGGCACCATGTTGGACTGTAGGCAGCAGGTGAGTAGCTGGGCCTGGTCTGCTCGTTGTTTTACCCTGGTGTCTAGCAAGGGCCTGGCGTGCTTGGCACATCCTGGGGGGTGAGTGGACAGCTGGAGGACAGGCATGATATGTCATCTCTCAGACGTTGCCATTTGGATCTAGGCTGTAGGAGGAGCTGGGAAGGAAAATTCGGTCCTTCCCGTTGTGACACTGACAACCCCGTCAGACCCAATGCCTGCAGACCCTCTGCTCAGTCCAGCCTGGACTGAAAGGGGCTGCCTGCCTGCCTGCCTGTGGGGTCTCTCACCCATGGCCTCCTTGGGCCCGGCTGCTGCAAGCTGCTTGGACATCCTGTGTCCTCAGTGTTTGTGCAGTGAGAAAAGGAAGGATTGGGAATGTAGGCCTCCTATTTCCATTCTGACATAATTTTGCCTTTTTGACTGGCTCAGGGAAAATGATCTCAACAGGTTTCTAATTCAGTAATGTTAGGTCTACACAGAACTGAGAGAACTTTAGAAATGATCTTGTCTTCTTTTCTGAGGGAAGCCCAACAGCCTTTCTCAAAGCCATATTCTGGATTTAGGCTTGTAGCCTACTGTAGATGACTTTGAGTGCCGTTTACAGCCTGAATGAGGTTTTGAAACCACGAAACACGTCTACCTGTAGAATCTATATAAGGAGCCCCAACCTTTGGACTCTGTGGGTTTTTCCAAGTTAGAAAGGATAGAGAAAGTCACCAAATGTAGACTTGCCTTCTTCCCGATGCTGAAATGTCTCCAGGACTGTGCTTGCTGTGTGGGGATGTTCTGATACGAGACAAACTTCCCATCGGTCCACTTGTAGATGGCGGACGTGGTCTCCCGATTGGCTGTGGCTACAAAGAGCCCCACCTTGGGGATGCCGAACACCTCGATGCCCAGGGTCTCCGAGTTCGTGAGCAGGCTCTGGTGCTCCTCCACGTAATCCAGTCTTTCTTTGGCTTATGAGAGAAATATTGTGACTCGGTTAACGCCTCTGGGGTGGAAGCCCAGGTTGATCCTCTTGGGAGTGAGATCCCCAGATCCCCAGGCCTCAGTCATGGCTCCCGCAGCCTGAGCCTTGGGGGCTGGTTTTCACAAAGGTAGTTGCCTGGGAGCCTCGTTTTACCCTCACAGGAAGTTTCGCCAAAGGAAGGCCACACGTGTAGAACGTCCCAGTTGGAACCTGCTGTGGACTGGCTGCCCATCCAGCCTCACTGAGACTTAAATCCCCACTGTAACTGTTGAGAAGGTGGGAAATCCTATTATGGTAATTGAAAGGTGGGGCCTTGAAGAGGTGATTAGATTGTAGGACCACGCTGTAGTGAAATGGATTAAAAACAGTGGTCAGGGGCGTGGTTCTGAGGGCTTTAAAAGGAGAGTGCAGGAGGAACTGTCCCTCTCTCTGCTCCACCATTTTCTGCCATGTGAGATCCCTGGGTCACTGTCACCACCACCAAGACCCTCAACAGATGTGTTCCCTGGACTTGGACTTCCAAGCCTCAGAAACTGTACGCAATAAATGTCGTTTTCCTTATAAATCACCCAGTTCCAGGTATTTCTGGCCATGTGAGATCCCTGGGTCACTGTCACCACCACCAAGACCCTCAACAGATGTGTTCCCTGAACTTGGACTTCCAAGCCTCAGAAACTGTACGCAATAAATGTCGTTTTCCTTATAAATCACCCAGTTCCAGGTATTTCTTTTATAAACAACAGAAATGGACTAATGCAGAACCAGCTCCCCCTTCCTGCGGATAATCTGTCTGGGGCATCTGTCCAACCTCTACTCACCTTTCCCACAAGCTGGAACAGACTGTTGAAAGGTCTTGCTGAAAAATAATACTGTGAGGTTCTTGGCACTGTGTCTTATCTGTGATCTAGTGGTCAGGCAGGGTGTGGCAGAGGAGGTGGCAAGGCACCCACAAGGGATGGCCTCTGGGGCCCTGTGCTCCCAGCTCCTACATTCTCCTTCCCGTAGTTTGGGAAGAGGGGCTGAGGGGTGTCCAGCCCTGCCAGCCCATGAGTCATGCCCAGGACAGCACGCATGTCCACACTGCATGCACAAGCTGGTGCTGCTCATGTGGGTCAGTTTCCTGTCCGGAATGACACCAGCTCTGAGCAGAGCTCTGTGGCTGAAGAGCGCTCGGTTCTGGGGAGGGCAGCATCTGGGCTTGCCTGGGTGTGCTAGTCGCTGCTTGTGTATTAGTGTCATTACGGGTGGTCCCTCTCACTCTCAGGAGTGTCCAGCCTGGATGACCAAGCACGTGGTCACCTGCAGATCGCCAGGGCTGTCCATTCTTTGTAATCTCCCCTTCCCGAGTCATGAGGTGCCACTGACAGTGTCCCGAGTCCCCGGAGTCTCTGCCTCACCTGCTAACACGGAGACCCACTCACTGCCGACACACAGGTACAGTCCCTTCCGGCTGGCGTCAAACCAGAACTGGGCATCCTCCACCTTGGTGCAGGGTGGCCGGGATCCCAGCGTCACTTTCAGGCCGGTCTCTGAGGGGAGACCAGGAGGAGGAGTGTGTGGCAAGTCCATGTCCTCTGGAGGGCATGATGAGGAAGGTGGCCCCCCAGACCTGTGGGTGGCCCAGGAGGACAGGTTGCGGTGCAGGTGGGAGCAGACATCAGTAAAGGGCATGCAGCGGGGCACTGTGACACTGGCTAACGGCAACCTGACCCATCTGCTCCAAAAAGCATGGCCTTCTGCCTTTGGATCTGAGGGACCTCAGGAATTACCCGCTGCTTTGTTCTGCTCTTGGGATCTATTCCTTGCTGGCTCAGGCTTACCTAAACTCCAGTTTTGCTTGGTTCTGTGGCATTCTGACACTTCTAGTGTTACACCCCACCTTGGGTCAAGCACAGACGTCCCAATTATGCCACTTCTCAAGTGACCAGCTATGTCATGTGACACAGTAAATCAGAAGGGCTGGATGTGCTCCAGGTGGGGGCTCCCCTGACTTGTGACCCGAGAACCACAAGGCTCTGGGAGGCATGGCTGTCCCCACCTCTCCTTCCATGGGCCTCAGAGAGGAGGGGAAGGACATGGGGGGAGTGCATGGGGGGAGGGGTCAGACTCTCCAGCAGAGAGTGTGATACAAACAGTTAATGCTGGAACTCCACACTGCAAAAATGCAAATACAAACTAGAGAGAGCAGGAGCCCCTCTGGGTGGGTGGGTGGGGGTGTCACAGCAAACAGAAGTGTGTCAAGAGTCAGGGTCCTGACCAGGGCTGGGCTGAAGTTTGGATGATGTCTGAGAGAGGGATGGCGAGAAACAGCCTCAAACGCTTCCCTGGGAGGCAAAACAGGGCAGCAGGGATGTCGGAGGCTCAGGAGAAAGAAGACATTCTAAATCTGCAATGTCTGCCATCGGCCTGGGGGACCCCAGGAAAGGCGAACAGTCTGTTGAGGGCACTGTCTGGGCAGTGGCTGGATGGCCACCACAGTGGACAACACTAGCCTGTCTGGTGGCGCTGTCAGGATTCCCAGGCAGGGTCCCGAGCATTTTCCCGGCCAATTTGACAGACACTGTGCCAACAAGAGGAGCAAGTGCTGGGAGCCTTCGCTTTGTGCTGGGGCTCTCAGTGTCTGTCATCGGTGTGGGGTGCAGGTGGCCTCACCTACTAACCATAGGGATATTATAGCACGTCGTTATCTTCTGGCCTCCTCGGGAGACCCAGCAAGACCCGCGGGATGGACAGCACAGCAAGCTGGGCGTTCTTGCTGGGACACAGCCTCGGGGTGGCGTCTGAGCCTGGCAGCAGGACCAGCTGCCTCACCAAGCCCTGCAGAGAGAGGGGCAGCTCATCCAGCCCCTGCTGGTGCTGAGGACCACTTGGCATGGCCCATCTGGACCCCAAAGGGAGGATGAGGGTGGGGAGTCTAACCTTCTGTAGAGCTAGCAGCGAAGTCTGCATGTTGGTTATGGGGGAGGCCATTGGGAGCAATGGTGGAGAACTGTACACTGTTCTAAGGTCATTAAACCATGGAAGGGATTTTTCATGTGGACTGACTTACAGTGCTCATCTGTCTGTCCCTCCATGCATCCATCGCCCATCCATTATCTGCCTGTCCATCCGTCCTTCCATCCATCCGCCCATCCATCCATCCATCCATCTGCCCATACACCCATCCACCCCTCCATCCATCCATCTATCCCTCCATCAATTCATCCATTACCCATCCGTCACTGTCTGTCCATCTATTCATCTGTTCCTCCATCCATCAATCACCCATCCATAATCTGTCTGTCCATCCATCCATCCATCACCCATCTATCATCTGCCTGTCCATCCGTCCTTCCATCCATCCATCCATCCATCCATCCATCCATCCATCCATCCATCCATCCATCCATCTGTGCCTCCATCCATCCACCCATCACCCGTCCATTCATCCGTCTATCCATTCCTCCATCCATCTCTCCAACCATCTGTTTGTCAGACATGCCATCAATAAACATTCATAGAACACCTACTCTCAGTGCAGGGTAGACAAGCCATGAGCACACACACAGCGGCTCTGAGGGTGCTCAGTGCTCCTGAGAAAAGACAACTCGGGAGGGGCCGGGAGGGCTGGGCGCGGGCATCGTCTTAGAGTCGGGGCAGGCGTCCATGGTGGGAGGACACGTGGGCAGGGACCTGAGGGGTCAGGGAAGAACATGCTGGAGGAGTGGACAGTAAGCACGGAGACCCTGCTGTGGTAGAGACCCCTGTACCTTCATGCT